GTTGACCAATTAGTTTAGTAATAGAACAGCACTTTTTTAATCCAAAGCATTATAAGGCAATATTATAAGTGTCATCCAAAAGTTATTAATTACTTACAATCTATCAGTCTGTAAAGAACCTTTGCTTATAATGCAGTTATTCTAAAAACATATTCCTTTCAATACTGGTTTTATTTAGAATTCACGAAAGAGTTAACAAGCTTACTTATTGGTAAAACAAAGTTACAGTAAAATAAAATCACTTTGAATTATATATAAAATCCTTTAACTGTTGAATGAACAAATAGATTTAAAAATTCTAGAGATCCAATTTTTGGCTACTAACCATTTTTTGGCAACCATTTTTGGCTAATCTATAGATTACATTATCAATTGGTAATTTATTCCTTATTCCCCTCCTAACTACACCACTTTTTATAGATAGCGTTATATAAGTGTACTTAATTTTCTATAACACATTTAATTTCATTGTTAATATATTGTCAAATATTTTTTTCCATTAATTTTCAAAAAATAAACACTAAAATCAGTAAAATTTTGAGTATAAAAAGCATGAGGTAATCAGGAAGAAATATATAATAAAATAAAATAAAATTCATTGCATCAAAAAAGATTAAGTTTTATATAAAATTGTTAATATATCCTCATAATTCTTATAATAGAATAATTAACGCTGCATTTTCTTTAAGCATTTCTTTGAAACATGAAAGTTTTCTTAAACTGATAATCTCTTTAAGTCCGATTACTTAATTCCTTAAGTGATTTTCGTTCGCTAAATCGAATTACGCGCAGAATCCAACACTCCATGGTTAACCTCATTTGGAGTCACTCCTTTTATATATCGCAATACACCAACTATACATTTTATATTCCAAAAGGCAACATTTTTATATTAAAAACAAGTATTTACTACATTTCTAAAGAAATTGCTTCCTTCGTCCTTTTGTACACACCAATTTTGTGTCAAATGCCAGTTCTCCGATTAAAAATTCTTTATAATTTCTTCAATGAAAAATGTTCCTTCACAGTCAGCGGCATAACCTTCAACGGATGACGGCATAAAAAAAAATATAGAAATGACAGCAACAACACTGAACCTTATCAAATGTCAAATGATATCTCTGATACGAACTCCTTTGAAGCGCAGCTACAAAACCAATGGAATAAACAGAGTATAGACTAATTGAAAGAACAGGATACTCCAATAACCTCTTGAACCATTGACTCAATTTCTGAATGTAAAAGCTTCAAACAGCTGAGCATACATTCAAAAATAAAATCAAAATAAAATTTTTCTCCCCCATTATAGAGACACTGAGATTTCTTTAAAGCTTTTTTACACTCAAGCAAATATGTTTGTATTAGTAAGAAAAATACATATAAACTAAACAGAAATATGGTTAGAATAAAATTTGTTTTATTATAATCTGGTAATTATTTTCATGGCATTTATTTTTTGAATGAGCTTCAACACTAAACACAATTCTTCGACGGAGATTGACTTATAATAATTTATTTTTATTAAAATTTTTATTAAAAATTTTTTATTTTATTAAAAATTTTTTTATAAAACTTATGTATCTGATTTTGGTGGTTCTCGTCTATCGTATACCTCTAATTACAGATCAGCTTTAATTGTGTTACAATCAACTTGTACTTAATTTTTAATAACTTATTATATATCTAATTTTGATGATTATACGTTCGTTTTTTCATTAATTTGCGTTAATATCTTTATTGGGGTTTCAAATAACATAGTTGCCACTAAATAGCGATAATAGACAAAAGTAGTGATGAGTAGACGTTGGAACTGCTACAGACGGTCAACGGTTTCAAAATGGACCTTACTTAACAAAGTCAAAAATAAATCCCATAAAGAGTAAAAAATAAAATCCTAAAAGACTAAAAGTTTCAAAATAATAGTATGAAATAACATAAAAGAGATATATATGTGTGTCACCTGTGAAATGAAAGATATGGAATTATTATGCAGATACACTGCAAACAGCGAGAAAAAAAGAAGAATGCGCACAGCTGTAGGAATAACAGATCTAAGAATCACAAGAATTAAGATAATTATTAGCAGGGCATCGAACCAGACTTTTTTCCGGTCCTGTTTTCGTTCCGGCTTCTTTGCTCTTATTGTTACATATTCAATCCACACCTGGGTTCAGCGGAATTGAATTCAACACTTTATTTGTGCTTTATTAGCGTCGAAAATCTGTTTGATACTATAGATATCAAATAACAAGTTATTCACCCACTATCCAATAGAAAATTAGGAATATACTGGAAGAGCTATGCTATATAGATGATTTAGTACTGTTATTACATACACATAAAGAGAAACACATTAAGAAATTCTAGGATTAGAGTAAATATTAATATAAGTAAAACAACAACTATATACGAGTAAATCTACACATCGGAATTAAGATATTTATGTCTATCAGAAAGTTAAATTTTTTAATATATTAAAGTATATAATAATTTTTTGACATTATGGATGCAAGACTTTGATAATTTGAGGATCTCAAATTAAATTTATAAAGTAATTAAAGCAATGGCCATTAGAAATAAATGAATTATACAGATAAATTATTTTAATTAATTTAAAAAATAATTGAACAACTTTAGTGCTTTCACATAGCACATTACAGGTTTATTACGTCATTACAATATATGTAAATAAAACAGATATAAAAGAACAGCAAAATATTTGTATAAAGTGTTCATGTTAATATATATAATACGTTGAGTTATTTGTTAAGTCCTTGATAAAATCAATTCTTTCACTTCTGTTTGTAAATATTCTCACATAATACTCAAATTTGCCATTAAAATACAAAATCAAACTATTTTTTACTATTGGTTTGTTTTGTTTAAATTTTTATATTTTTAGCATTTACATTTTTTATGTAGAAGTTTCTTGCAGACATTTCTTTGCATATTCTTAATTTTTTAGTGCAGTCAGCAAGCATTATTTTTTAGTTTTGATATATACATTAGGATCACCTTATTTTGAATATGTTGCATAGACTTCCGTTCACGAAATGCTATATGTGTAACATTTTATTTTCAGTCACATATCCTTAGTATAGAACAGTGCAGTGCTAAAGGATAGACAATTAAAAGAAGTATGTAGCTTTAGTTATAGGTGAATCATTTTTTGATGACTGCCATTTTTTTTTTTCGATTAATTTTTTCAATTGTTTTCTTTGATACCATATAATTTTATTGGTCATAAGAATGGTTCTCTCTCTGTCTCTCTCTCTCTCTCTTTCTCTCTCTCTGTCATTACAGTTATTTTTTATCTTGGACCAGGGTATAACCTTTCAAAGTTAATACACTTTAAAATTAAATATCGCAAAATATGAAATTCTTAAATTTACTTAAATAAAAGAGAAGCGAAGATAATATACTTTGTTATATCATGCAGCTAAAGAAAAGTTTACAGTACTCATATTATATATTATATAAAAAGTTTATAGTCCTCATATCTTATTTATCAAATATATTTCATTATTTATAGATTTCTAATAAATTTTCTGTAGCGTACACTAAAATTAACAACCCCGTCTTAAGGTAACATTGGGTATTTATGCCCCAATTTCACCCAAATCTTATTGGATATAATTTGTTGTTTTATATTTTAATAAAAATTTTCGGTCCCTCTGTATTATTTATCAGAGGGATCAGAGGGTTATATATTATAAATTCATTTCTAATATATTTTTTGTGTGCACACTCTTATTAAAAACCTCGCCTGAAGCTTATAGTGGGTATATAGGTATGCTTCAATCTCACCCAAATCTTATTAAATGTAATTTGTTAGTTTATATTATATAAAAAATGGTCGGTCCTTCTATATTATTTATCATTCATGTTATATTTTATAAATTGATTTGTAATATATTTTTTTGTGCGCACACTGATATTAAGAACCCCGCCTGTGGCTAACATTGGATATTTATGCTGCAATCTCACCCGAATCTTACTAGAAATAATTTATTTTTATATAAAAAGTTTTCAGTTCTCTTGGATTATTTTCGCCGTGTGCTAGTTCGAGTAAATTGAGGTAAAGTAAATTGAAATTTCCTAGGGATGTTTTGCAGTGCACTTATGTAAATATTTATTTATTTATTGCACTTATTTATTATTTTTGTTTAAAAGTTTTGAAATTTATTTATTTATTTATTTAACATCTTATAAAATTTTCACAATGGCAACACCTAATTTACTTAATTTTTATCTAATTTACCCTACTCGAAATTCTGGTTAATACCATACCGACATAATTTACTATTTCCCTCTATTTACCATCAATGTACTCGAACTCGCACACGGCTTTAGCAAATATATTTTATTATTTCATTTCTAATAAATTTTCTGTGGTGTGCATTGAAATTAACAACCCCACAGCTTTTAAATGGAAGCTTTCCGTTTTAGAAGAAGCATACAAAGAGCAGATTATAATGAAAAATAAAGAGTATTCACACTACTTATACAACAACAATAAATAAGCAAATCATTTTGATGTACTTTTAATTATTACAAATTAAATATTAATTAAATTATTTTAAATTAAAATTAAAAATTACCCAGCAGAAATAATTCCCTACAGTATTAGGAAATTATTACTGCCAGAGTGCTGTCAGAGGAGTTGCTTGCATTGTACGTGCTCCCGCTCCCGCTCCAACTACTTTCCTTATTAGTGTAGAGAGCTTTTAGTGCTTTCATGTGTTTGATTTTTGTACTTCAGTGTGCTCACGCTCATTTTCACTTATAAATTGTCTCTCTTTAATTCAATTTTAGTTGATTGGATTTTAACTTGAAGCTGTTGTTGTTGTGGCAGTGTTTATCATATTTGCTCTTGTTGTTGCTGTTGTTGTTGTTGTTGTTGTTGTTGTTGTTGTTGTTGTTGTTGTTGTTATTTAGTCCCGACTAGACTAGAGGGTATTTTCAATAATTTCGCGCTACACTCAAATTCATTTCGCATCGAAGCAAAGCGGTCGTTAGTCGTTTTGTGTAATCGCGTAGCCGTGAGCATTTCTAAACGTTTAAATCGCTTTTGATACGGTACACAAAATCAGTGTTATTAGTAGGAAAAGCAAGAAAAAAAAACAACACACATAGTAAAGAAATCAAGGAAAATAAAACAGAAATTAAATCCTTTAATTGTTGTCATATTGGAAAATTTATTTAAGAAAGGAAGAATTATAAGACGCGAAGTGTTCAATTCGAATTCGAATATTCTAAAAAGAAAATTTTTAAATACCAAATAACAGATCGAAATTTCTTAAAACATCATAATATTGCAGTATTAAGTAAATTCTAAAAAAAAAAATTCTAAAAAATTTTTCTTGTATACTTAAAAATTAATTTATTTAATTAAAAGTAGTAACTGAAAAATTAAACGAAAAATTCCAATATTCTAAGATGCAGTCAATAATCGTAGCCAGTGCTTTGCTCTTAATTTTAGCCGTACAACAAGGTAAGTAAACCATTGAGGCTTAAAGGATAATCCATTTTTATAACTGACAACAGCAACGTCCTCCGCTGTACACATATCATATGTGTTACATAATGCGTATCCGTTTTCCCACTTTCTGTGGTGTGTGGTTTGTTATCTGGAATCTCGAATGCTTTCAGTTTTAAATTTCCATAAACAACAGTGGGATCGGGTTACATACAAGAAATTAAGTGGTTTTCACACTTATCAGTGTTAATTATAAATCTTCTTTTTTTTTTTGATTTAAATTTGAAACAGATTTTCTTCTTCGCTTTTCTCTGACATTTTCGTGTATTTTCTTTTGCTCTGTTACTTTCTTTCATAGTGTAAAAGTGTGTACATACGTGTTATCCTAAAAAAAATGTAAAATGCCTTCCATTTCTCTTGAGTTTGCCTTCCTCCGGCATTTCGAATTTTCCTTGTTTTCTTTACAAGAACTTGGAAAAAATGATTTTCAATTTTTTTCTTCTTGTCTCCTTGGATTCTCTAACATGCTGGGGGTGGTTGTGGGCCTTATGCCACGCTATTGTTCTTTGGAGAAGATATTGAAATATGCACCACACCAGAGTGGTGGCAATTTTAGTTTTCCTTTTGTGGTGGTAGTTACGTCGTGAAATTATATACTGAATCATATGATTTATCCATGTGCGTTTCATCAGAAAGTCAAAACTTTTCTTTATTTTCATTTAGTTTCATCCTTTTTTCTTAAATTTTTTACCACACACCATTATGATATGATTTGGTAGCTTCATTAAAGCATATATAATGAATGAAGTTAATCAAAAAAAAAAATTGTTTTGAGAAAAATAATAGAATATATTAAATAATATAAATAAACAGAAATGAATAAACAATAATTAATATAATATGTATATATAAATACAACAGTCAAAAATTTTTGCACAATATTAGATTTTTTTTCTTTTCCATGTACCATCTATTTATATATCTGTTAAACTTAATTTAAAATAAAGCACTGGATTAAGCCTGTTAAATACACCCGTACTATGCTTATATTCTATATTTTTTTATACATCAATACAGTATTATAAATTATTGTAACTTAATTTATTATTATCTAAATAAGTGATCTATGATGTGTTGACTGATTAGTTGGTTGCAGTGACAGTTCATTAGATATCTACCCACTGACCACATTCTGCGGAAGAAAATTTAAAATTTAAAATGACAAGAACTAAGTTTATTCCGCAGAATTTTGATCATTTAATACATCTTTGACAAACTGTCAAAAAAAGTACTTCCCTAAGAACCCACTTCTTCTGGAGAGAAGAAATGGGCAGAGATGTGTATTCTCTTAAATTTTCCACTTACATCAGTTTCATTCAATAGATCCACAACTAGTGAGTTTACGTGATTAATCTTTATTTTTAACTGTGGTTTTAAATCACATCTTTTATTTAGCGAACAACAGTAGGAGCTTTATTATTATTAGAGCTGCATTATTCTAACTGAAATTTAAATATTTAAAATATTTATTTGAATGCATATTTTTAATTTTGGGTCTTATCGAAATATCGTCTAACAATTCTTGTACTAAGCATTCTGCGGTATTCCAGCCCAGAATGCTTTACTCTGGTTTTCTGCGATAATGGCTCTGATCCATTTCTGCATATTATCTGAATTTCATTGCAAAGCTTACTACTATAGAATCATTTATAGTAATATTGTCTTTATGAAGTAAGATGTACTTAATGTTCGTCTAGATCTTTTCCCTAACTGCTATATGAAAGCGGATGATGTCATTGAAGAGTAGACTTGGCCAAAATACGTGCAGATAATTCTAAGGCTTTCGCAGTTTCCTTCAAATGTTATTCTTAGTGTTTTAGTTCTCAAAACCATAGAGCAAGATTGGTTTGATTTTGATTTTTAAAATTCCTAGACATGTACACAATTAATATATCTGCTGAGCGCCAACTTAACGATTTTCCACTTATAAAAACATACAATAATAAAACTTAAATAAATATTTACCATTACTTTTTTTTTTTTTGTATTTATATTTGATTTGTATAACATATGTCAAATAACAAAAAAATAGCTGAATTGAATGAAGATATTAGATTATATCAGCAAACATTAAAATAACATATATATTTAAGATATTTTTCATATTTGTCAAATATATCATATTACGGCTATTTTTAATTTTATCAAGTTAATCCATTAAATTTAATGGATTGCTATATTCGTTCATGATTTTTTTTTTAAATAAAAGTATTTTATGGATGGCTTATAATTGAATTCATTGTTATATATATATAATGTACAACAGATTTCCATATACCTATTTATATCATGATCTTCACATTACACTTCGTGATCAGTTTTCTCCTCTTTTCTTCTCCATTATACTGTAGCTCTTCTCTAATAAATCCTATTTTATGCTTTAACTCTGTTATTAGTTATTATCATCGTTTTGTGTCATTTTCGATATCTTCTCACTATTTACTTCGTGACAAATTTCTTTTTTTGATTGGTCGCGACCTTTATTTTCCATTCTCAGTAGTTGCTCCTAACTCTATAAACCTAGTACTTTGATGAATTTGGTAAATTTTCATATTTATTTCATCATCATACCTTGCGATATATACCATTCTTACAAAAACTCAGAGCCAAATATTTTGCATTTGGCACAAAAAAAAATCTACTTTGTTATGAGGACATAACCAATGTTTGTTTAAATTACTTCAATAATTAATATTGAGAATTGATTTTGTTCCAGATAATATTTACACTTTTCCTATATTTTATTCATATGTAGTACATTATCGAGTACAATCTTTTTCATATAATTTTAATAAAATATTAATATTCATTAGTCAGAAGAGTTTGAATTGGAATGAAAAGACAACAACAAAAACTTTAATTAATTTATTGAAATTTGGCTGACCATACAATGCTGTTTCGAGTATTGCTTTTTTCAGTACCAATCTTTTCATTCGAACCCTTCTAACTTTTAAATAGTTTCTTTTCGTCATCAGACACATCACTTTCGGTAAGAAAAAATACTTATTTGTTAATATCTTTTAGCCAAAATTATTCTATACAATGCGTATATGCTAGTGTCTTTTTAAGTTTTCCAAACACATTTTTGATATCGTCATTTAAACTCTTTAAAATTTTGCATTTAGATAAAAGTATTAACTTCCATCATGAAGAGAACTTATATGAGATTAAATTTTCTTAACATGGTGTTATACATCATGTATACAATAACCTATAGTTGTTTTATGATAATGGAAATACTATAATTTTTAAGAGGCGCTCTGTATTAATTCAATACTAATATTAATTAACATAATACGGACATATTTTACTAAATAATTATAAGAATTCATTAGAATTCATCCAATGACTTCCTTCAATTAAACACTATTAACTACTATTTGTGTACTGAAGAAACAAGTCATAATTAAGGGTCAATTCTTAATATTTGCTGGCTATGGATTTTTTTTTAAATTATTCTTTCGATTAACTTAAGTCCTCACATTGCTTCGGTATCTCTTAAAATGACACCTACCATGTTTTTGTTTCAGAAATTATATTTTCAGAAAATATAATAGTTAAAAGTTGATTCTTTTCTAAAAATAATTTAGAAGAGTTCGATTATTTCAAAATAACTTTTTTTGATTTCCCTATATCAATACATTCATGTCATACGAATAGTTTTTGCTTAAAAATTTTCCATCCACCCATATCTGTACACCGTTTTCCTGCAATCGGCCTGTACAATGCGTCTAGATAATACTTTCAGTAAACCTTTTTTTTTATTTCTTAAACCAAGAGAATCATCTTCTACAGTTAATGCACTATATGTACTTAACGTGATATTTTTATTCTATACAAAATCCTAATATATCTTAACAAAATTAAATAAATTTTATATATATTATGAAATTATAGAAACATTTCTCTTGTGACCATTGTTATTTCTTTTTTATGTTTATTACTATTTTTTTTAAATAATATTAATATTATAATTATTATTTTAGTCGGATTCGATTTTTTTAATGAAAACCAGTATAGGGCCTATCTTTCCTAGTCCTAGTCTAATCTTATGTTTCATAAAATACTCTCCTAGGTATTTCTTCCGCTTGTGCATCAGTACCGCGCACTCCCCTAGGACATGGTATGCGATTTCTTACTCTTCGCTACAGTATCTGCAGTCTGAGTTGGATTGGATTCCTAACTCTGTTAGATGATTATTCAATCTACAGTGACCGATTAGTAATTCAGTAATAAATGTAAGATTATTCATTGTTTTTTCTATGCAATCTTTGAAGCGTTTTAGGTTGTAAGTCCCTAAAAGCATTTTAGATTATGATATTCTTGGTGGCTTTTACCAATAGAGTTCTCTTTTTTTTCTCAACACCGTTCAACATAATGGATAAAGTTCAATTGGCTAGAACGCAGAAGTTAGTGGGTCTATCATTATTAAAACCGCGCCTCGTCTTGCGAGTGTATCTGCTATTTCATTGCCTTGTATACCAGCAAGCCCCGGAATCCATATCGTATGTTAATAAATTTTATTTATGCGGCCTTTATTTTTATGAAATTTAAAAAAAATTAGATTTTTGAGCATTATTCCATACGTCCATAAATTTGTATGTATTTTATGTAATTTTAGAAACATTTTTTTTTGACCATTATTAGCTTTCTTTGTACATCTATAAATTTCTATGAATTTTTGAGCATTGATATTTTTCTTCGTAGATCAATAAATTTCTTTATATGTATGAAGTTGTATAAGCATTTCTTTTTTGTTCGGATATCAATAAATTTATATATATAATGAAGTTATAGAAACATTTCTCTTCTAACCAATAGTATCTTTCTGGGTATATCATCACACTTCTTTATATTTATGAAATTTCCAAACCATTTCTCTTGTGACCATTTCTATCTTATAGATCTAAATAACTGTTTATATATATTGTTATATCTGAAATTACAAGTTTATA